GGCAGCCCAGTGACTGCAGGTACATGTGCAATGCCAGAGAGTATTTTGGCATATGCACTAGCCTATCCACACAGCAGTACAGAAGATATCAGCATGACTTGTGGCTTAACATGGGCACGAGTACGGCAAATGCTGCATGGTCAACATGCACATCTCTATCGTGTCACTTTACAGCAAGCACCATTGCCATGGGATATTGAGCGCCGATTTGATTGGTGTAAGTGGGCATTGATTAATAAACGGTAACTCAGATTTTTTGTCCAACATTGTTTGGTCGGACAAAGCACTGTTTCAACATATTGAATTATTAAACCAACACAATGTCCACTACGAGCCATTGGAAAAAAATCCCTCGTGGGAACTCTCCACCAGATACCATGTGCGCTGATCCATTACTGTGTGGTGCGGAATTTTTGGAAGGATCGTACTGACACCCGTGTTATATGAAGGCATATTAAATGGACAGAGGTACCTCCAATTATTATAGGATATCATATCTGGCATTCTAGATGACATTCCCTGTTCACATTATGGTCTTTGTGGGTCCAATATGACAATGCCCCTGTACCCCAGACAGATGGAATGCAAAGCTTTCTCAAACATTGTTTTGGACAACAAGGCCTATTAAGATACCTATTAAGGTAATTGCACTGAGAATATGTACAAAACATAACAATAACAACCTCACTTATTACTTTACATCTACTATCTACAGATATATATATATATATATAAAGTAATAATTACTATTATTCTAAATAAAAGCATTTACTTTTATTTAGAATTTATATTCTAACTAAATGGCAGCTTTTAAGCACTATATTAGGACCAGCATACTCTCAATACAGTCAAAAGTCGTTAATCGGACTCGATGGGACTTCGGTGATTCCGGGTTATCGATTTTTCCGGATTATAGATCATCAGTTTAAATCTCGCAAGATGGCATGCAGAAATTCTAAAATTAAAAATATGAAACCATAATTTATGAAATAAAGAACAATTATGATCTAAAGGGTATCAAAATTTACAAAAAAAAAAAAGCTTAATATTTATTTGTTTACTTTATTAAACATTTCTTTCAATGTAAGTTGTTTAAGTTGCTTCATTTTATGTGATAATACTTTCTCTTTAATTTTATAAACAGACATAATTTCTTGTTCAGTTACAAAGTTCCGCTGTTTAAGTCCCGTAATTGCTGTGCCGAGAATACCGACTAACTTGTCAATCGAAATTTTTTCGTTTTCACTAACCTCTCTGTCACATTCTTCATGTCTTTATCCATTTTTTGCAGCAATTCCACTTTTTGTTTGATGGACATCGAAACATACTTTCGTTTTGTACGATCGTTTGGGAGCTCCAGAATCGCAAATTCTATCTGACATAATCGAAAGTTCAAGTTTACTTTTATAATATTGCTCTTACAGTCTGCAAAAAATAATAAGCCGGATCCAATTCAAAGATTAAGGAACAACGCAATCATCAACATTAACTGAATAGATAATTTTAGCTTATACCATCTGTTATATGTAAAACGTGCACGCGAAAACGTGTTCTGCGCTTGTGCACATGCATATGCGCAGTCGTAAAAGGTCTTACGCACACACGTAAACACCTATGCGCATGTGTCAATGCGGCGCAAGAAAGTTTTTAGCTTTGAGGTCCGTATTATAGATCATTCCGGATTATGGGTGTTCGAATTAACGATTTTTGACTGTATATTATATCCAAGAAACTTTCCAAGATTTCTCTCCAGTTTATGGCTAAATTACCTTAAATAGAGAAGAACACTTTTTATGACAACCCTGTTACATTCCATCACTGAATACATTGCATTTCCAGCCATTTCGTTTTAAGTTTTTGCAGACAAGTAAGTTAATTTTCATTTCCTTCTTCAGTTTGATCTTTAGATGTATAACTAACTACTTTTATTAAAATTTAATATAAAGGATTATGTCAATTTTGATCTTCTTTTGATTCTGAACTGCTTTTTAATGTTAAAAAATGTATAACTTTTGTTTTTAATTTTGAATTTGAGTTTGAAAATGAGAGTCAGGGAGTATCTCTTCTAAAAGTGGGGATTTCGTTTAGTTGTGTTCTTCATGAGCAGCTTAAATTAAAACAATTATTTACTAATTGATTTTGTTTATGAATGTTCATTTGGCTTCAACGGACTAATGTTTTTCTATTGATTGAGTATTGTTTGTGACTTATGATTTAGCTCTAGCAGAAATAATTATATTTCTTATGATTTAGCTCTAGCAGAAATAATTATATTTCTGCTAGAGCCAAATCATAAGTTACAAACAGTACTCATTAATCATTTGATCCTTACTTGGAAGAAAGATGAAACACTCTCAATTCAGTTGTTGTTACTTGATAGTAGATTGATTTGTTTCCCTCAACAAGTCAATTAATCTGCAATCAATGACAATAGCTTTTTTTTTCAGTACTTAAAATTTTTACTTTTGATTTTGGTATTTTTGAGATTAAAGATTTTTTATGTTTACAGAGCAATAGAGGTCTAGAAAATACTAATTTAAAATACTGACTAAATTTTTTTCTTTTAATAATTCCCAGTTTTAATTGAATTTCAGTTCCTTGGAGATGGTATATAAAAAGTTTTCTAATTACATGTATAATTTATATATACATAATTTATTCTTATGGTTGACAGTAATTAATTCTGTTGAATCAAGAACTGGATTTAAGAAATGAAAAGTCCGTGATCAAATAAGTATTCAAATAACTATGCATTAAATTCAGCATGTCATACAGTTAATCATCATTAATCAAATGACAACTCAGTTACAAAACTAAAGTGGGAAAAAACTGAACTACTGAATTTGTTTTGAATGTTATTAATGCAATTTAATTGTGTTTTTAAGAGTTTCAAATAAACTATTACTTAAGTTAACAGTTGCAAAAGGAATTTTTAAAAAATGTTCTGATATCAATACATAATAACATTAAATGAAGACTGCGTGCATTCAATAAAAATCTATGCTTATTTCAATAATAAAATTAAGTTCCAGAGTTTTATTATTTTACTAAATAATTACTATATTTATATATATATATAGCATCTCCCTCTTTTTTTGCCATCATCTGTTAAATCATACAATTATTTACCTGAAGATGTAATGCAACTCAGAATCCATGCTGTAACCTTAAAATATTAACCCTTAGGGAAGCAATTGCTTTTTTCCGTTAAGTATACAATAACAAATCACAAATAAAATATACCAACTGAAAGATCAACACGAATACAAAACAGAAACGAATTTCTTAATGATAACTTGCTTTATATTCAATACAAGCAATTTTAATCCTATATATTATGATAAAAATTAATAATTTCTATAAGACATACTTAAAACATTACTTCCTTATGAAAAATCACTTTATTATCAAAATACATATAGCCAATTTTTTTTCAAAAGTACCCATTTTTTATTAATGTAATGAAATGTTAATAGTACTGCTCTATTAAAAAAGTAATCTCTTAACAGAACAGTATTGTGTTCCGTGACAATTTTCAACATCTTATACAATAAAATGAATACTAATAACAATAAAAGCTTTACATCCAAACTTCTGCAACAGAAAAAATTGTTTTTATGGCTACATATTTTTATATTGGCTATTAAAGTCTTATTTGGATTATAATACATTATTATATTCCAATACCCAATTTTTACGAATAACTGATCATACAAAATTAAATTTCTCAAACTTTTAAATTTTGTACCATATACATAATAAAAAATATATGTTTCAAATGAAGCACTATTTTATATTCATTTAAATCAGTTATATAAAAAATGTACCACCAAAAATAACGTAATGTACCTTTAGTGGTACATGTACCATGGTTTAAGCATTTCTGCATTAAAGCATTTGATTTGTTGCCATTATTTCTATGTTCAACTTGAAATAAATTAAAGTGATTACACATCTTTACACCAGAATTCTGCAAATATTCAATGCAAATATTCTGCAAATTACAATAGTTATTTTTGTGAAGGTACGATAGAAATATATTCAATAATCATATAAACATACATTCTAAATTTACATTTTAGAGAGTTCTTACAGTTAACAGAGAATGATTTGTAAAAGAATGTTTAGATTTCTAAAAACTATTTTTCCTATTTAGAAAAATAGCAGATGTAATTAAGTTCATAATTCTTATAAGATCTTTTTGAAATAATACACAGAAGCTTAAATTTTATTAGAAAATATTTCAGTGAAGCAGAATTATTTGATAACTAATTATTCACAGCAATAATGTACAAAGAACCTCTCACAGCAACAACCTCCCAGTATTTCTTAGAATATAAATAAATAACATGTCTGTCTAAGATGATAATCTCCAGAGAAGACCAAAATCATGTGGAATTGAGAATAGTCTTTATTCAAAAAGTTCACTGTAATTAGAAATACGTATATGAACTGAAACAATTATGCAATGGTTTAGAGTAGGTGTCTTCAACCTTTCACGCCCGAGGGCAAATTTACAAAGGTCTGCGGGCTACAGCTACATGTCTATCAAAAAATAGTGTAGTTAGAAAATTTATATAAAAAAGGGAGGTTTGTTTTGCAAGGTTACAATTGATTCTATGTGAAGAGATAATGTTACAAATTTGTATATATATATACATTGGTTCCAAAAAGTTAAATGGAAATCGAATTAAAATGCTTTGCAACTTTTTTTAACTATGAATAAAAAAAAAGTATAAAGATGATTGTGCAGAACAATGTTACAAAATGCATTTACTATATATATATAAAGAAAAGAAAAATTAACATTACTGGTAGGAGATGGTAGTAACTTTAGTTTTAATGCGAAATTTGACATTGGTTTTGCTTGATTAAAGCTTCAATATCTGGTTTAATCTGTGTTTTGCAATTCGTGAAGTTTTCCCAAAATGTCTGCCTGTCATGTTCTTGTTTTTGATTTTAGAATTTTCATTTTACTAAAACGCTGTTTACATATGTAGGTACTGCCAAAGATAGAAGACATGAGGAGTTGCATGCTTACGAATTCCTGGATACTTGTCTTCGGTCGGGTACTCCAAATAAAAATCAATTAATGTAGGATTTTCAAGGAACTTGCATTTTACCGCAGAGTCACATTGTAAATCTATAAATTCTAATTGAAGTTCAGGTGGAAATTTCCAACGTCTACTGAAGATGGCCAGGAGAACATTCTCATAAAAATTTCATTTTCACAAAAATCTGAAAATCTGCTTTCCTCCTCTTTCAAATTTGAAATGCATTGTACATAATTATTTGAATTCTATGTTGCAGAGTTCTTCACACACTCCATCAATTTTGGAAAGTGAGTGGAATCTTATTTAGCAACTGATTTTCTCACAGGATTAATTTTGTCTCAAAAGCTTTCACAAAGTAATAAAGATTATGAACAAGTAGATCGTTTCCCAATAAGCAGTAGTTCAAATCGTTGAGATGACCTGTAATATCAACAAGAAATGCAAAGTCTCTCAACTATTTCTCAACACTGAAAACTTCTCTTTAGATTCCATGAATTGCTGAACTTTGCTCTTCAAAGCAAATAGGCGCTGAAGCATCTTTCCTCGGCTCAACAACGTACTTCCGCGTAATACACAACATCACCATATTCAGCTCCCAGATCACTCACTGTTGTATTGCGGTGATTAAGTCTTTTAGACCAAATGAAATTACCCACTTTTACAACAACATTCATCACATGTTAAAAGTTTGAGAATGATTTCTTACACTAATTTTCTTGGTGAATGGATGCAGTGGAAAATCATCATAGTATTATTTTCAATTGCCTTCACATCAGATCTGGTTTTGTTGTACATAAGGCAAACTGCCTTTCCCTTATGTACAACAAAAAAATTAAGATCTGACCACTTTTTTTGAAAACATTGCACTTTTCTTTTTTGTTATCACGGCTTGCCATTGTGTACTTATTCAAAGACCATAAACGCTTCTGAATTTTAGAATGTAGAATGGGTAGGAGAAATAGAATTCTGTTAATTTAATCCCCTTCCCCTGTATAGTAGCAGCATGCTCAAGGTCACCTTGGGGAAGTATTGACGAAAGATTGACATTTGTTTCAAACCTGTTAGAGATAAGAATCTACCCTTTTTATGGAATTGAAATTTTATGCGAAGTCAAATTTTTCACTTTTAAAATTACATAAGTAAAATTTTTGAAAATGTTATCTCAAATAATTTAAGGCATGTCAATAAAATGTTATCAATATCAAGAATAAGAGGGGAAAAAAGGTTTTTTTTTATGACTAAAAGCTGACAAGGCAATTTTCTTGAAATCAAATTTCCTAAAATTCTTCAATTTTTCTTCAAATTCAAATGTGGGACCACTAAAATGCCTTCAGCAGGTGACGGGTTGAAGACCCTTAGTTTAGAGTATAAAACTGAAGATGCAATCAAATAAAGTAAACCTGCTCTTTTTCTTCTTCAGAATTTTTTTTTTTTTTGCTTCTAAATCTATCATTAATAATTAAACTGTGCTTAAATACAGCAGCACAGCATGTATTTTGAAAATAAATACTGTGTGGGCAACTGTAAAACCCAATTAAATGCCGATATTCTGAAATTTACATGGTAATTATGAAATTAGTGAGCTATGCAGAGGCCAGCTAGTCAACAGAGAAAAACAAATAACGTCTGAAAAAAAATCATGTAGCTCATATTAGATACAAAGTAATGGTTTCTGAGTATCAGATTATTTTATTTTGTGTGATAAGTGTTCTTATGCGAATTCTGTAAAATAACAATGCTAGAGCTCATTTTCAACAGTTCAGAGTTTAAGTCAGCAAAGCTATTTTGTCCAATGAACGTTTGACTGGCTTTGAAAAAAAATACCAGATCATTATAATACACAAATATTAGTACAATTCTGCTACAGCAGCATCAGTTAAAAATGCACCAACAACCATGCCAAATAGCGTGGTTCAAGGACTTATTTGAAATATCGCGGCTCGAGATTTCTACTTTTGTTTAAAATATCATACCTCTTTTTTGTTCGTATTTTAGCTTTTTTTCAGTACGATGGATTACACAATTTGGCAACTAAGAAATGACAAAGAGGCTGCCATTAAGATTCTTTCAGGACAAAGGAATAATTCATAGCAATAGACTTTATTCTCAAAATCATCTGATGAAATTAACTTTTGACTCAAAGCTCGTATATGGTATTGTTACGTACATTCTTGAAGTGAAAAAAATAAGGGGTCTGAGAACCAAAACATGGTTGGAAAGACCACATCTTTCTTTCCTCAGTGCTGTTCATTTTATCTAACTATGTTGTGAGGAATTGACATCGACTGAATTTTGCCCAAATCAATCAAAAGCACCCATAATATGATAGTAGACTTGAATAACTACTTGAGGGAGGTACGTGCAATTAATTTGACATCTTGGTTGGTTGTAAAAGAAATAAAATTGGTGAAGCCAACAAAATTGTAGAAATAGACGAAAGTCTTTTCACAAAAAGAAAGAACGTTGAACATGTTCTTCCGAAACAATGGGTATTATGCCGAGAAAGCAAAGAATGTTTCATGGTTGCCATTCGTGATTGTTGTGCTACAACACTGATGACTGCCATTCAGGAAAACATTGCGGATGACAGAATTATATTTTCAGACTGCTGGAAAGAATACAAGCAAGAGGAATTTAAGGAATGCTGGGTATGAACATTTCACTGTGAATCACAGTTATAATTTTGTAGACCTCGAAACTGGATGGCATATCCAATCAGTGCAGCAAACATGGGACAATGCTAAATAGAGAGAAAAATGTCAGCAGAGCACTGCTCGCCACCATTTACAGTCAAATTTGTTAGAATTTATATTATGTGGTGTCAGTTATATTCAAAAACTGAAATTTTTCCTGCAATATTCAATGATATTTGCAAATTTATAGCACCTGTTTAGGTTGAATTTGGTTTTGTTTTATTATTTTTTATTTATGCATGGAATATTCTTTATGCCACCTGGTTAGATTGAATTTTGTTTTGTCATTTTTATTTATGTGTAGTATATCCTCAATTTAAAACAAATTACTTTCTTTAAGAATTAAGAAATTTAAAAAAAATTACTTCCAACAGAACTACATATTTTTTAGGTACTTTTCCGTTTTGCCGGCACAGGCGATAAAGTCGCCAAACTGATCCCAAACGGAATATCCTTGCTGGCAACCTTTTACGCCTCATTTTCAAAACAAGTCACAGCTATTTCTTATCAGATTAATTGTTTCTTTCAATACTGGCATACAATTACATAGAACTTTTACCAGATAGTTCAATTTTATGCCCTAAGACCATTCACGGTAATTAAGTCAATTAGGATGCAATCACACTGCTCACCCGATGGTGAAAACATAGAAAAGGCAAAGTCAAGGGTTAAATTCATCAATTCTAATGAGAATGCACTAGCGAAGTAAAGCACTGCAGTTTTACATAATTTCTGAGTAAGTTATTCGTACGAATTGAAATAATTCTTGAATTTAAACTTGTATTCCAAATTAAGATTTAACTTTAAATTAATGTACATAATTACTGAGAGAATTAGATTTTTGTATTGTAGTTTACGTGAGATGAGATCATGTGGACTCATGTGATAAGAATCAGTGAATGAGGATGTTGAACCATGAAAGCATAGTAAATTCTCAATGTCTTTTTACAAATTTATTGTCTTTATTTATTGGCTTTTACAAATTTTAAACCATATTAAAATATTTATGCCTTCAAAATAAAAAAATTCTTAGAACTAACATTTGTTAACATTTTTTACGTGTATACTGTATGTTGTCGCCAACAAAGTCTGCTTGGCGAGATTTGCACCCGCAAAATGGAAAAGTACCGTTTATTCTTTCTGAAATGGAGGGTTTATTGCAGAAGGAATCATTTCTTCAATGAAGAAAAGTAAAACTAGTTTGTTAGACAATGAGATCTTGCTGGGTTCAATATATGCATATACGAAACACCGAATTTTCTTGAATGATAAACAAATTAAAAAGGCAAAGAAAACCATCTGTGAATCTTCATTAAGAATGAAATTATTCTCAGAACAATTGGAAAATTATAATTCCTAAGACCATTTGTGGTAATTAAGTCAATTAGAATGCAATCACACCGCTTACCCGAAGGCGAAAATATAGAAAAGACAAAATCAAGGGTTAAAATTCATCAATTCTAATGAGAATGCACTAGCGAAGTAAAGCACTATGGTTTTACATAACTTCTGAGTAAGCTATTTGTCAGAATTGAAATAATTCCAGCACTTGTATTCCAAATTAATATTTAACTTGAAATTAATGTAGATAATTACTGAGAGAATTAGATTTTTGTAGCGTAGTCTGAGATGACTTGAGGTCACGTGACAAGAAATGGCAAATCAGGATGTTGTACCATGAAAGCATAGTAAATTGTTAAATTAATGTCTTTTTACAAATTTATTGTCTTTATTCATTGTCTTTTTACAAAATTTTAAACGATATGAAAATGTTTATACCTTCAAAATAAAAATTTCATAGAACTAACATTTGTTAACATTTTTTATGTGTATACTGTGTGTTGTCGCCAATAAAGTCTGCTTGGCGAGACTTGTGCTGGCGAAACGGAAAAGTACCTTTTTTATTCTTTTGAACTCTATCATTATTTCATAATTTTATACTTGGCAATAATTGATAGCAAAAAAGAAAAAAAAAAAAAAAAAAAAAAAAAAAAAAGGGCGCATTCTTACGGGGGTAGCTCTAACAGAATAGTACCCAAATACCATAACATATTAAACAGTTTTATAACGTAGATTCTACAATCATCATTAAAATGTTTCACAAGTCTTACAATTTATTAAATACATTTATACTAGCATAAATTATGTTCATTTATAATGATAACATTCAGCAAAATAATAAATTTGGGAAAGGCACTGCAACTGGAAAAATCCAAAACTTTTTTTTTAATAGATACATGAATATACAGTCAAAAGTCATTAATTCGGACACCCATAATCCGGACCTCAAAGCTAAAAAACTTTCTGCGCATGCGCCGCATTGACACATGCGCATAGGCGTTTACGCGTGCGCGTCTGCGTGTGCGTAAGCGTAGAATATGTTTTCGCGTGCGCGTTTAATGTATACAGACGGTATAAGCTAAAATTATCTATTTCAGTTAATATTGATGATTGTGTTGTTCCTTAATCTTCGAATGGGATGCAGCTTATTATTTTTTGCAGACTGTAAGAGCAGTTTTATAAAAGTAAACTTGAACTTTCGATTATGTCAAATAGAATTTCCGATGCTGGAGCTCTCAAAGGATCTACAAAAAGATAGTATGTTTCGATGTCCGTCAAACAAAAAGTGGAATTGCTGCAAAAAATGGATA